CCTTGATAACTATCATCATCGCATCCTTTGCATTGCCAAGGATGTCTAACGTCCCTATTGACTTCTATATATAATAAGATAATATGATATAAGATGATGCTAGGTGATGATCAGATGATGAGAAAGATGATGACAAGGATGATAACTATCATCGTAGCATCCGTAGCATCACTAACGGCTGTGATGATAACGATCATCGCAGCGTCCTCTGCATCACCAATGCTGCCTGATAAGAGATGACGACGACCATGATGAGTGGGGGGCGTGATGATCGGTATCATCCGCGTCATGACAACTATCATCACAACTTCCTCTGCATCACTACTTGTTCCTTGATAACTATCATCATCGCATCCTTTGCATTGCCAAGGATGTCTAACGTCCCTTTTGATTCCTATATATAGTAAGATATGAGATGATGCTAGGTGATGATCAGATGATGAGAAAGATGATGACAAGGATGATAACTATCATCGTAGCATCCTTAGCATCACTCACGGCTGTGATGATAACGATCATCGCAGCATCCTCTGCATCACCAATGCTGCCTGATAAGAGATGACGACGACCATGATGAGAATGAGGCGTGATGATCGTTATCATCCGCGTCATGACAACTATCATCACAGCATCCTCTGCATCACTACTTGTTCCTTGATAACTATCATCATCGCATCCTTTGCATTGCCAAGGATGTCTACTGTCCCTTTTGATTTCGATATATAGTAAGATATGAGATGATGCTAGGTGATGATCAGATGATGATAAAGATGATGACAAGGATGATAACTATCATCGTAGCATCCTTAGCATCACTAACGGCTGTGATGATAACGATCATCGCAGCATCCTTTGCATCACCAATGCTGCCTAATGAGAGATGACGACGACCATGATGAGAATGGGGGCGTGAGGATCGTTATCATCCGCGTCATGACAACTATCATCACAACATCCTCTGCATCACTACTTGTTCCTTGATAACTATCATCATCGCATCCTTTGCGTTGCCAAGGATGTCTAACGTCCCTTTTGGTTTCTATATATAGTAAGATATGAGATGATGCTAGGTGATGGTCAGATGATGATAAAGATGATGACAAGGGTGATAACTATCATCGTAGCATCCTTAGCATCACTAACGGCTGTGCTGGTAACGATCCTCGCAGCATCCTCTGCATCACCAATGCTGCCTGATAAGAGATGACGACAACCATGATGATAATGATGATAAGGATAAGAGAATAAGAAAGAGATGATGATAAGGATGATGATGATCACGATGACCAGAACGATAAAATTTATCGTAGCTGCAGCTGCTGATGCTGATGAGGATGAAACTTTGGATATACTTATGCGCCAACTACCCTTCCCGTGCGCCTCCCCTTTTTAGAGAAAGGGTCGGCGGATTTAAAAAAAGATAAGGACGATGACGAAGAAGATGATGATGATGAGCACCGTGATGATGCTGATGATGATGATGATGAACTGACATGATAATCATCATGACGCATCCTCAGCAGCACCAGCAGTCATCATGATAATCATGTCCGCGCATCTTCTGCATCTCAAATCGGGTCTAACGGAACACTTGAAACGTATTTAAAAAAAGAAAAGGACGATGACGAAGAAGCTGATGATGATGAGCACCGTGATGATGATGATGATGATGATGATGAACTGACATGATAATCATCATGACGCATCCTCAGCATCACCAGCAGTCATCATGATAATCATGTCCACAAACCCAGCATCTTCTGCATCTCAAACGGGACACTTGAAGGACACTTGAAAACTATATACAAAAAGATATGGACGATGCGAAAATATAATGAATGTAGAGCAACCCGTGATGAATGCGATGATGATGATGATGATGAACTGACATGATAATCATCATGACGCATCCTCAGCATCACCAGCAGTCATCATGATAATCATGTCCACGCATCTGCTGCATCTCAAATCGGGTCTAACTGGACACTTGAATCGTATATAACAAAAGATAAGGACGATGACGAAGAAGATGATGATGATAAGCACCGTGATGATGCTGATGATGATGATGAACTGACATGATAATCATCATGACGCATCCTCAGCATCACCAGCAGTCATCATGATAATCATGTCCACGCATCTTCTGCATCTCAAATCGGGTCTAACGGGACACTTGAAACGTATATTAAAAAAAGATAAGGACAATGACGAAGAAGATGATGATGATAAGCACCGTGATGATGCTGATGATGATGATGATGATGAACTGACATGATAATCATCATGACGCATCCTCAGCACCACCAGCAGTCATCATGATAATCATGTCCACGCATCTTCTGCATCTCAAATCGGGTCTAACGGGACACTTGAAACGTATATACAAAAAGATAAGGACGATGACGAAGTAAGGACGATGACGAAGAAGATGATGATGATGAGCACCGTGATGATGATGCTGATTATGATGATGATGAACTGCCATGATAATCCATCATGACGCATCCTCAGCATCACCAGCAGTCATCATGATAATCATGTCCGCGCATCTTCTGCATCTCAAATCGGGTCTAACGGGACACTTGAAACGTATATTTAAAAAAGATAAGGACGATGACGAAGAAGATGATGATGATAAGCGCCGTGATGATGCTGATGATGATGATGATGAACTGACATGATAATCATCATGACGCATCCTCAGCATCACCAGCAGTCATCATGATAATCATGTCCACGCATCTTCTGCATCTCAAATCGGGTCTAACGGGACACTTGAAACGTATATAAAAAAAGATAAGGACGATGACGAAGAAGATGATGATGAACACCACTGACATGATAATCATCATGACGCTGATGATGATGATGATGATGAACTGACATGATAATCATCATGACGCATCCTCAGCATCACCAGCAGTCATCATGATAATCATGTCCACGCATCTTCTGCATCTCAAATCGGGTCTAACGGGACACTTGAAACGTAAAAAAAATGATAAGGACGATGACGAAGATGATGATGATGACACCAACTGACATGATAATCATCATGACGCATCCTCAGCATCACCAGCAGTCATCATGATAATCATGTCCGCGCATCTTCTGCATCTCAAATCGGGTCTAACGGGACACTTGAAACGTATATTAAAAACAGATAAGGACGATGACGAAGAAGATGATGATGATAAGCACCGTGATGATGCTGATGATGATGATGATGATGAACTGACATGATAATCATCATGACGCATCCTCAGCATCACCAGCAGTCATCATGATAATCATGTCCACGCATCTTCTGCATCTCAAATCGGGTCTAACGGGACACTTGAAACGTAATGAAAAAAGATAAGGACGATGACGAAGAAGATGATGATGATGAGCACCGTGATGATGATGATGATGAACTGACATGATAATCATCATGACGCATCCTCAGCATCACCAGCAGTCATCATGATAATCATGTCCGCGCATCTCTGCATCTCAACGCAAACGGGACACTTGAAACGTATATAATAAAGATGGACGATGACGAGCTGATGATGATGATGAGCTCCATCCTCAGCATCACGATAATAAAAAAAGAACGTACACTTGAAACGTATACAAAAAAGATAAGGACGATGACGAAAGATGATGATGATGATGATGATGATGATGATGATGAACTGACATGATAATCATCATGACGCATCCTCAGCATCACCAGCAGTCATCATGATAATCATGTCCACGCATCTTCTGCATCTCAAATCGGGTCTAACGGGACACTTGAAACGTATATAAAAAAAGATAAGGACGATGACGAAGAAGATGATGATGATGAACACCAACTGACATGATAATCATCATGACGCATCCTCAGCATCACCAGCAGTCATCATGATAATCATGTCCGCGCATCTTCTGCATCTCAAATCGGGTCTAACGGGACACTTGAAACGTATATAAAAAAAGATAAGGACGATGACGAAGAAGATGATGATGATAAGCACCGTGATGATGATGATGATGATGATGATGATGAACTGACAGGATAATCATCGTGACGCATCCTCAGCATCACCAGCAGTCATCATGATAATCATGCCCACGCATCTTCTGCATCTCAAATCGGGTCTAACGGCACACTTGAAACGTATATAAAAAAAGATAAGGACGATGACGAAGAAGATGATGATGGTTAAAAGCAAAGGATCTTCTATAATTTCACGTTTTCGACCAAATAGGCCCGACTTGGGGCATGTAGGGGCCTCCACAGTCCATGCTCCATGTCAACTCCGCGGAATCTAGCTAAGCAGTGCCATCGTGTGAAAGCCAGCGACCCTGTTCGAAAGTGAGTTTTTGATGGAAGTGGGGAGGACTGGGGGCCTAGGCCTTCGACCGTGTCACAAGGAGATAAGGACAGCGGCGACGACCACCACGCCGATGATGATGATGATGATGATGATGATGATGATGATGAATCTTCGGTTATGCTCATTTACCAGCCAGCCTTGGACTTGTAACCGCCCTTCCCGTACGCCTCCCCCTTTGAGGAGAAGGGGTCGGCGGATTTTGATGAGCTGCTGTGGGTTGCACGAAGTTTGGCAACATGTGTTGTGACAGGGTGAGGCACCAAGGGCTTGTGCTTGGAATGAATGCTGCGGCAGCCTACTTACACTTCTTACTTTCTTGCTTGGGGGGCTGGCTGCGGTAGGAGCTTGGATTCCACTTTGGGGGAGGGACGCGAAAGGATATGACTGACTTAGTCGTGAACATCCTCCACTGCTGGCTGCCCCTTGAAGTGAAAAGGCTTTTCCAACCTTGGATTTGAACCACCTGTGCTTCATCGGAAAACAACTTTGTCGGGTCATTTATTGAAGCACAATCCCACTCGGTCATTGCATGCGTCCTATCCGGAAATCGGAACAAGCTTCCGCGGTCCTCCTTCTCGCGGATTCCTCCTCCTCCTCCTCATCCTGTTCCTTGCTAGCCCGCAGGCCATGTTGGCCGCGCAACTATTTGAGCGGCTTTAGTGGCTTTCATCGCTTTCGTTCTCCAGAGTCTCAAGTCAATGGAGCATGTGTCAATCTTTTCGCATCCCCAAGCCAGGCGTGCGTCGTCTCGCCGAGGTGGTCCCGCCGACTTGGACTGCGTGCTGGGCAAGCTGTATGCGCCCAGCGAGGAGCAGGTTGGGGGGGCCCAATGCCAACATGATCAGGTAAAACAACGCTCTGCTTGGAACAGAAGGCACCCAGAAGAAAACGTGCAACATCACAAACAGCATGGGAACTGACACTTCCCTGCAATCTTGTTCGATGTAAGCAAATGGCAGGCACGGCCGCTCGTTTTGACCACAATTTCCCTTGGCTAGTGGCACTGCTGCTTCCCTGCCCACTTTATCTTGGTTGGTCCTAGCTTACAACTCAGCCTACCAGGAGACATCGTCACCGTTTTTGCCAGAATTCCTTGGGCTGGGATGTCATCAGATAGCAATTCAAGACATCAAAACGTGGTCCGGCAATTTTCTGATCATCCCCCTGGGCACACAGTGTGTTTTTCTTTAGCCCGGGAGGACTGACGCTTTTTGTTGAAGAAGGGAGCGGGGTTGGGAAGGCCAGTTTTCTGATCTAGCCGGTTCCAGGTTAGCTGCAGGAAGGCCGACCCTCATGCCGGTTTACAGGGCTTAGAGATCTGTCCAATGCGATGAGGCAATGACATAGTCATTCCGGCTGCTTTGTATTGGATGGCACACGTTTTGTTTGCATGCAGAACAGAATTGACACACGCTCTATCAATAAGTTCATTCCCAAAACCCCGAAATTTATTCCCTGACCGGACAACTCGCCCGATGCGCCCCCCCGAGCCCTGCCAGCGACGCTAGGCAGTTGCAGATGCAGAACTGTCGCGGCTGCCAGCGCCGCTGCACCCACCACAGCCCAGTGACTTCGAGGGATTGCTGCAGCGAGGCCGTGGTAGCAGGAGTATGCCATGTCTTCGAGATGTTTTTACAGAAAGTCTAACCCTCACAGCGGGGTGTGCCAATACAGGGGGATGCTTTATTTTGAGAGGGAACTGAATTATTGTGTTGTTGGCTTTCTAGTCCATGGCATTAGTTTATTGGTGATTTGCATGTGGTTTGAGGATTGAGCCTCTAATTCTTGTCCATACTCTCCACGCCAGCGATCCAAAACCACCAACCGAAGGGAAGCGGTTGGTTCTCCCGTCCCTTTGGTTGGCTTGCTTCAGCGTGCAAGGTGGTCATTGTCGGGCTCTTCCTTTGTGAGGTTTGAGGAGTTGTCTCGTTCTTTATCCGTGTGCTGTGTTCCTTTGTTTGCATTTAGTTCCATGTCAGGTGGCACATGATGCCTGCCCTTGCCAGGTACAGGCGTTGCAAAGTCAAACTTGTTCCGTTGTGCCCATCTCAATGCAGAATATGCATGTATGGGGTTGTCTGTATTTTGCCATTGCCGCCTTGCCAATTCGGCCACGTAGCGGGAGAGATGTTAATCACGTCTTCAGTACTGCGCTTCCCCTCCGTACGCATTTGCTGCCTAAACTGCGCCCACGCGCGCGCGGCGTGTGTGTGTGTGTGTGTGTGTGTGTGTGTGTGTGTGTGTGTGTGTGTGTGTGTGTGTCTGTGTCTGTGTGTCTGTGTCTGTGTGTCTGTGTCTGTGTGTCTGTGTCTGTGTCTGTGTGTCTGTGTCTGTGTGTCTGTGTCTGTGTGTCTGTGTGTTTGTGTCTGTGTGTTTGTGTCTGTGTGTGTTTGTGACTGTGTGTGTGTGTGTGTGTCTGTGTTTGTCTGTGTGTGTCTGTGTTTGTCTGTGTGTGTCAGTGTGCGTGTGTGTGTGTGTGTGTGCGTGGGTGCGTAGGTAAGTGGGTGTGTGCGTGTGTGCGTGCGTATATGTTTATTTATTTTGTTCGATATTTCTTTCTTTCTTGCTTTTTTGTTTTATTTATAAATTTGTTTATCTATTTCTTTATTTGTTTGTTTGTTTGTTTGTTTGTTTGCTATACGTGTTGTTGTTTGTTTCTTATGGTTTTTCTTGTTTGGTTATACATGTTATGTGTTTGTTTGTTTGTGTGTTTGTTTGTTTGTTTGTTTGTTTGCTTGCTTGCCTGCTTGTTTGTTTGTTTGTTTGTTTGTTTGTTTGTTTGTTTGTTTGTTTGTGTGTTTGTTTGTTTGTTTGTTTGTTTTTTGTTTGATATATGTTTGTTCTTTCTTTCTTTGTTTGTTTCTTTGTTTCTTTCGTTGTGTGTTTGTTTGTTTTTTTGTTTGTTTGTTTCTGTGTTTCTTTCTTTCTTTCTTTCCTTGTTTGTTTGTTTGTTTGTTTGTTTGTTTGTTTGTTTGTTTGTTTGTTCGTTTGTGTGTTTGCGGCGTGCATGCCTGGATGTGTGTGTGTGTGTCTCCTCGCCTAGGGCAGTGGACATGCGACGTTGGCAGGTGAGGGCCTGTTCGACGTGCCCCTGACTAGCAAGGACGAGATCGCGATTTTAGGCCTGGCAGAACAACTTTGCCAACGACATGAGAGCAAGGCCCCCCGTTTGTTTCCCCGCAGCTACAGGACTCAGCTGGAATGAAGTGTTTGTGTCGCGTTGGTGCTTGCATTGGGTTGTGCGGTCAAAGTAATATTATTTTGATTATTCTGACTTGCCGGTTCCAAACAAAGACACCCATGGTGCAGATGGTTGCAGCAAATCATCAAACAAACATGAAAAAGCTGTGGATGTATTCTTGGGGAAAATTATCCAATATCATACGGGACTTCATACCGTCTTTTGCAAAACAGCAAAGTTCAGGCGCTTTTTCTGCTAATCCACTCAGGAAGTCAGAAGTGATGACGCCACCAATCGGCCAATGGAGAGCTTTGCCACTTGCCTGTATCACTTTGGGTTCTGTATTCCTCACTCCCCGAGTACCGGGACTTCAGACTTTATTGGGACGACCATTTTCGTGTCAAACGAACGGTTTAGAGTTTTTGGCCAAGCAGAAACAACAGCGAGCCCAGTCATGTGGTCCCCGTGACAAAGCCAAGTGAGTCTGGCGCGGAAACCCGCGCAGGCAGCAGGGAAGGCCGCCTGGCGCTGGTGGCCTTCCTGCAGGGGATTCCAGCGCGGGTGCTGGCAGTGGAGCGGGATGTGGCGTTGCAAAGCCGGGCCTTGCTGGCCTTGAGGCGCTTGAGGCACATGGGATCTGGGTCGCGGGACCGATGGCTCGGAGTTGGCCTTTTAAGTCTGCGTGTCAATTCCCGTTGCGAAGTGTCTTCCTTTGGAAGTCACAGGTTGGAGCCGTGGGGATGGGAATTACAGGTTGGTATCGCGAAAAGGGGGGTTTTGCACAATGGCATTGGAAGCCTGAACAGGGCTGAAAATGTGTGGGGCGGGCTTATGCTTACCCCCCACGTTCGTGCTTGATCCTCAACCGAAAATGCAGCCTCAAAGAGAGACCAGACAAATGGATACCACAAGACGACTTCACAGAGCAGCCTTAGCCTTCGCAACATGTTGGCGGGCGGTTTTGGGATTTGATCCTGCCTTTTGCTGAAACCGTGAATGACTGTGGGTGTTTGTTGTCGAGAGTACTCTTTTTGGGGCTGGTCGTGTGTTTCGCCATCGCACATCCTGGTGCCATGGCCATGAATTTTTTCGATGGCGAGTTGATCGAGATCCAGGACAAGCAAAAGTGCCTGGATATTATGCCGCCCACGGGGGCCAATGTTTCAGAGCTCCCTTCGTGGTCCGGCCTGCTGCAGAAGTGGTACAGAAAGGGGCACTTCAGCAGGCAGCAGGAGTACAGGAGAGTAAGACTGCAGGGCCACTTCGGGCAGCTGAATCGCAATGTGCGGCAGACGCTTAGGTCGGTTTTGGCGCTGGAGTCGTCCTCCAGCCGGAGCCACCTGCATCTGCCGCACTTCCGCTACGCATACGAGGGCTGCCGGCAGCAGCTCTACCGGGTCCTGGCCGCATTTGCTCTACAGAACGCCGAGCTGGGATTCCACAAGGACTTGTCCGTATTGGCCTCAGTGTTCCTAGCGGCCACAGACTCTGAGGCACAAACCTACGCACTGCTGTCAGAGACCTACCGCGAGCTTCAAATGAAACCCATGCTGGTGCCCGAAAGGGACCCTGAGACCAAAGGCAAGCGGAGCCTGAAGCAGCAGGTGAAGATGATTATCGTCACCTTCAAGTTTTACTGCCCGGCCACCGTCGCAGCCATCGAGGATGCGGGCTGCGAGGAGTTCTTGAGAGAGATGTTGGGCGGATGGCTTGCCAGTCTTTTCTGCAGTGGCTATTCGCCGAAGCGGCAGAAGCTCGAGGAGTTCTTGCCACTGCTTACTGCAGCCATGGAGGCGTCGACCCATGAAGATCCAGCCCACGCCGTACGTGAAATCGCCTTGCTTCTGCTACTCCAGAGCTCGGGACGCCTGATGAAAGCCTATGAGGTCCAGCGACTTCAAGAGGAGTTGCAAGACCTCGCCAACTTCTTGCCGGTCTCCAAGGACTTTGGCACTGCGCTGGCTCAGTTCCAGCGGCAGCGGCAGCTGAAGTCCGAGTCGCAGCAGCAGGCAGAGCTGGCCGCGCTGCTTCCCTTGGCGCTGCTGAGCGGCTTCTTGATTGCTAGTGAGTTGGATCTTTAGGCTTTCACTTTTTGGTTGAAATCAAGTTGGGTTTTCCAGTAAACCCACAAAAAGTGAAACACTTTTTGCAGAGGGATCCAACACGAATTTGTACACGGTAGACAGAATATGGAACAGAATCAGCAACCACCATTTGAAACATGGCTTTGCCAATTTGAAACATGGCTTTTTGCACCAAAATAAGGGACACCAGCATTTACAAGGCAATGTTCAGGTGTACAATGTAAGGATCCCTGTTCAGTGGCAACCAAGGCTTCTGCTGCCTGCAGGAGTTGCAGCTCTTGCTCCACGGCGCGGCATTGGCCGTGCCTTTGTGCTCGCTGGCCTTGACCTTGGCGCGGGCGGAGTTGAGCCGGAGCTTGTGCCAGGGTCTCCAGGAGTTACTCAGCTGCAAGCGAGTCGACCTTTTGAGAACTTGTTGGTGTTCCCGTTTTTTTTTGTTTTTTTTTTTTTGTCTTTTTCCGTTTTTTAGTAGAGGTGCCAAAAGATGAGCCTTTCGTTTCCAGGTGCTTTGGGCAAGTGAGGTTCTGGAGCCTGCCGCAGAAAGTGGAGGAGCCCAGCGGCATCGCCAGGCTGGAGCTGGAACAGGAGAGCGGCAGTGAAGCAGCGGAGGAAGAGGAAGAGGAGCAGTTTGACTTTGAGTTCTTCCTGGGCAAAGACCATCCTCGAGCAGCTGACTCGCAAGCAAGCTGAAATTGGAGCAAGCTGGCAGGTTTTTATCCCACCAGCTTTTTCTATCACTTCCTGAGTTCATGGACTTAAGACTTGGGAAGACCAATTTTGTAAATCAGAAGTTCATGTGTTTGTTCATTGTCCATCCGACCAGGAAGTAAGCTCATTTTGACCCTTGGACCATTCGGACCATTCCCCCGCTTCCTGAGCTTCTGGCTGGGCTAGAGAATGGAACAATAAACAGTGCAAGCTTTGTTTGGCCCCAGTCACGCGGGAAGCGAGTGCCTTGAGACCACAAATAAGTGTCGGGGGATCTCCCCGTGTTAACTAGGCCGTCTTCCAGTAAGACGGAGTGTTACGATCAGATTCCGGAGTGGGGCAGACAGCAGTCTCCATGCTCGGTCTTTCACACCACCCGCTGTATTTTGGTGGATTTTAATGTACAGACTTGTACAGATGTCGCTTTTAGATTCTCGATGAGCAGTTCCACATCTCAGCAGAAAGAATCAGCAGTAGCACTAGCCATGATGCGACGACGGGGGCCTTTTGTTTCGACACATACCTTTGGTGCATTTTGCTTGGATGTTCGGACTTTAACTTTTTGCCAACTAATTGGTTTTCCGTTAAACCACTGGAAGTTTATTTTTTAGCAGGGGAGCAGAAAGCAACGGAGATAGCGTATAAAACCTGCACCAGGGACTTCTTGAACAGCTTCGGCGGTGGCTACGTGCCTCCGTTGCATGTGGTGCCAGTTGGGCCTTTCGAGATCCACACGCCCCAGGCCCCACAGCCTGGCGCGTTCTCATACCAAGAGTCTGAAGAATCCGGCTTGGTGCCGGAAAACAGAAATGTGGCTGTATTAAATCCAGCTGACTACGGCTTCCCTCATATGTAGCTTGAGAGTCTCCAGGGGTGGGCAGTATTGAGCCTCTAGTGTCTGCCCCAAACATTCTCAACACCCCCAACCCCTTGAAAGTGGACTTGGGGGAAGGTACAGTCATGCCATCGACGATTCCAGATGGTGTTTCCAAACCAAGGCCGACCAGAATGAGCAATGTCGCGATCTTGCTGCCAAAGGCCACGGTTCGAGAAAGCGAGCTAACAGAGCATGGTCACCTCTCAGAGTCGCATTCTTGTTTGATTGGTGCAAGGCAGAGCCAAAAAACCCAGGGATGTTTGATTTTTATCAAGGACCCTGGAATGAACTGATCAATGGACAGCGTGCTTGCACATGCTGCCAGGCGAGTGCGCTGGAAACTCTAAGTACATGGCCGCCAATTGCTCCCGATCCTGCTACAACAGGACGTGGCGTGAGCCGGTGGCAGGAGTATCCAAAACAACTTGGAATCATGGGTGTCCTTTTTGGTTGTTTTGGTAGAAAAATAGATGGCCCTGGTTTGCCTGGCGTTTTAAACATCTACCAGGGCCACAAAAGGATATGCTTGGAATGTTGAATGGTTGGAACGGACATTGAACTGGGTCCTTCCCAGCCATCCGGTTCCTTAGCTTGTCAGATCTTTTTAGCGCTTAGTGGTTGGATTTCCATTTAACCCACTGAAAGTGTTAAGCTTTTAGCAGGGGATCTATGGACAGCCCAGTGAGGTCTCGGTGTCCAACAGTGAACAGGGAGGCTTCCAAGAGCTGAGTAGCCTTCCCTTCCTGGGAACTCATGACGAGCTCTGCGGCGTAAAGCGATCTTTCCCAGGTCCCTTTTATGGCCGCTTTGTTGCTGAGTGATGTTTCTGTGAATTTTAAGGTTGCCTGAAATCTGGGAAGGATTTTGCCGCCTGCTCCGCAATGTCATTTAGCAGTTTATGTTTGCAGCATTTGCATCAAAAGATAGGCAGGGCTGTGAAAAAAATATCCTGGAGCAAAAGGCTTTTCCAGCACTATTCGAGGATCGCATGCTTGGCACCTCCAAGACAACTAAAGCATTGCCCCGTGCCAAAGCGACCAAACAATTTTTGCCAGCCATGGCGAAGTCTTCTGGCGAGTTTCAGCACGCCGCCGACCAAAAGAGAGGGTCGGTGGCCAGCAGGTCGGCGAAGTCTGCCAATGCAAAGGTTGGCGGCGGAGTTTGGCGGCGGATTCCTATTCGGCTGCGGCGGTGGATGTCTGGTTTGGGGCCGGCGACAGGTCCGGAGAGAATGCGCCGAAAAAACCCGCGAAGTTTTGTAATGAGCAGATTCACTTCATTTGAACTTCCACAGGTTCTCCACCGCAAACTTCACCGTGCTCCGTGGCCCCGCTCCCGTAAAGCCTGGCGCAGTTTTCCACCGCCGCAGATTCCTCCGCCAGACGCCTGGCGATCGAAAATCCACAACGTTTGGCGTTCAGGCTTACGCAATCTAAGCTTCTTGTGGAAAGACCAGAGACAAGGGGAGTCCACCAGAAGGCCTTTGTCCATATTTGCGCTCTGCAACACGTTTGCGCTGCAGCGCGGTAAGTTTGCATGACCGTGTTTGCGGTGGCATCCTTACTCACGGGCCTGCGTTGGGCGAACGCGCATTTGTCATGCCCGAGCGTGGGGCTGCGCTTCGGGTCTATGGCTAGGTTTCCCAACTACGTCTTGAAAAACCCACCCTCAAACTTAACTACGAAACTTCCGGGGTGATCTGTCACAATCCTTTGAACAAAACAAATTGATTTCCAGGGCTGGGAATCCAATGTGCCCAGAGTGGCGAGAGAGAGGGTCCACCTTAGGGTTTGCCCAGGACACAACCCACCAGCCTCCACTGGAATGGCATAGAGGCTGGGAGAAGGAAGAAAACGACTTCAAGGGGTCCCAAGCTGTGCTCCGTCTTGTTTTTTTTTGCAGTCTTGAAAGGCAACCGTATGGTCAGCGCCACTTGCGCCATTCCGACATACCAACTTGGAATCAGCTGGTTCAGAAATACGAATCGGCAGGGATGTGGCTCGTACTTCCCGGCATCTACTTTGTTGGGGATTCCTCGTTTATTCCTGCTTCTTCCTGCCAATTCATTTCCCTTTCCCCGACTGCTTTGTTTGACTTATGATCGCCAGTCGTACCATTGTGACAAACTGGCACACGTGAGCGTTTGACGCAGCTGGCGCAAGCCAGCTCACTCCATTGATTCCTTAAACTTCAAAGATACATCCCTAGCATGTTTGGCAGAGTCACTGCAAACCAGTAAATGTCGTGATGTTCTAACATATTCACGTGGGTTTCCATGGCACACATGATAATTATCTTTCAGAGATCGCTCAACTCCCTTTACCCCGAGTTTCCCCGCAAGGTGCGGATGGACGCTGCGAATCTCTCCGAGGCGAAGCTGGTCATCCTGGAGGATCGATGTCGTTGACGTCAAGTGGCCCAAGTGGTTTGCTTTGGCAGTTTGTGGGGCTTGCCTTTCTTGGATTTGAGGATGTTCATTCGTGTGTGTGGTGTGTGGTGTTGGGTAGTTAAGAAGCAGAGCCCTGTGTGTGTGTGTGGGTGCGCGTGCGCGTGCGCGCGCGCGCGCGTGCGTGCGGCGTGCGGCGTGCGTGCGTGCGGCGTGGCGCGCGCGCGCGTGCGTGCGTGCGTGCGTGCGTGCGCGCGCGTGTGTGGTGTGTGTGTGTGTGTGTGTGTGTGTGTGTGTGTGTGTGTGTGTGTGTGTGTGTGTGTGTGTGTGTGTGTGTGTGTGTGTGTCGGTGTGTCGGTGTGTCGTGTGTGTCGTGTGTGTCTGTGTGTCTGTGTGTCTGTGTGTCTGTGTGTCTGTGTGTCTGTGTGTCTGTGTGTCTGTGTGTCTGTGTGTCTGTCTGTGTGTGTCTGTGTGTCTGTGTGTCTGTGTGTCTGTGTGTCTGTGTGTCTGTGTGTCTGTGTGGTCTGTGTGTCTGTGTGTCTGTGTGTCTGTGTGTCTGTGTGTCTGTGTGTCTGTGTCTCTGTCTGTGTGCGTCTGTGCGTGTGCGTCTGTGTCTGTGCGTCTGTGCGTCTGTGCGTCTGTGCGTGTGCGTCTGTGCGTCTGTGTGTCTGTGTGTCTGTGTGTCTGTGTGTCTGTGTGTCTGTGTGTCTGTGTGTCTGTGTGTCTGTGTGTCTGTGTGTCTGTGTGTGTGTCTGTGTGTCTGTGTGTCTGTGTGTCTGTGTGTCTGTGTTGTCTGTGTGTCTGTGTGTCTGTGTGTCTGTGTGTCTGTGTGTCTGTGTGTCTGTGTGTCTGTGTGTCTGTGTGTCTGTGTGTCTGTGTGTCTGTGTGTCTGTGTGTTGTGTGTTGTGTGTCTGTGTGTCTGTGTGTCTGTGTGTTGTCTGTGTGTCTGTGTGTCTGTGTGTGTGTCTGTGTGTCTGTGTGTCTGTGTGTCTGTGTGTCTGTGTGTCTGTGTGTCTGTGTGTCTGTGTGTGTGTCTGTGTGTCTGTGTGTGTGTGTGTCTGTGTGTCTGTGTGTCTGTGTGTCTGTGTGTCTGTGTGTCTGTGTGTCTGTGTGTGTGTGTGTCTCTGTGTGTCTGTGTGTCTGTGTGTCTGTGTGTCTGTGTGTCTGTGTCTCTGTGTCTCTGTGTCTTTGTGTCTCTGTGTCTCTGTGTCTCTGTGTCTCTCTGTGTCTCTCCGTGTCTCTCTGTGTCTCTCTGTGTCTCTCTGTGTCTCTCTGTGTCTCTCTGTGTCTCTCTGTGTGTGTGTCTGTGTGTGTGTGTGTGTTTGTGTGTCTGTGTGTCTGTGTGTGCCTGTGTGTCTGCGTGTTTGTGTGTGTGTGTGTCTGTGTGTGTGTGTATTTGTGTTTGTTAATTTTTGTGTGTGACTCTGTTGTCGTGCTGCGTCTGTGTTTGTATTTGCGCTTGTGGTTGTTTGCTTGCGTGTTTTTGTGCCTGTGTACCCGTGCGTTCGTGTGAGCATAGTTGTGTTTGTGGAATTGCTTTGGTTGTTGGCAACAGGCCCCAGAAAGGTTCTGACCTGTTCAGGTTCAAGCAAGTCCCAATATGGCTGTGGGTCGAAATTTGGTACCCAACAAGGAACCCAGGTAATGGAACCAAGGACTAAAGCCTGCGGTCCCCTGGTGGTTTAATTTTGACCCATACCCATATCATTTCATGAGGGCCTGGCCTTGCAACGCAGATGTTCGCTCTGCAGGATGCGCCCCGCGGTCCCGATCAACGGGACATGGCCGGCCTCCCAGCAGGGTTTGCGGTCTGCTGGCCTTAGCGTTTGATGGCGCAACTCATTTACATCACCGTTCGAAGGGTGGGAAGCCCAGTTCCAAATGACATTTCCCTCATGTATGTCCATCGTGCACCAGCCCTTTTGCAGACTTCCGTTCTTCCTTCCTTCCTTCCTTCCTTCCATCCTTCCTTCCTTCCTTCCTTCCTTGTTTCCTTCCTTCCTTCCTTCTTTCCTTCCTTCCTTCCTTCCTTCCGGCAATCCCTTGCACTTCTCCACAGACAGGAGTCCTTGCTGGTTTTTTGAGCCGTGGATGAGCAAGGCCCAAAGCCATAAGCCCCCAACCCGACCAAACATTGCCCTGCAAACACCAGGCGCCGGACCGACCTACTGAAACACAAGGCGATGCTGAGCTTGCCTCCAAGCCAGCAGCACAAAACCAGCCTTAGTCAAAGATCCCCTAGTTCCCAGAGCTGGGTGGAGCTCCCCTATTTGGGTATGGGTCAACAAAAGCAACAAAAACACCAGAAAACCGCAGGTTGAATCGTCTATGTTTTCATTTACCAGGGCAACCCATTTTGGGGTTACCTTTTTTTTTGACAACCACAGCCATACTCCAAGCCAAGCTGAGGCGGCGTGGGGCCAACTCTCGGAGCTCGCCGTGGGCACTGCGGTGTGGAGCCCCCAGCCGCTGCCGTCCGCTGCCGGGTTGGCGCCGCTGCGGCGCATTCCCGCGTGCCACGTGTACCTCCGGGTGCCCCGGGCACCAGAGGCCGCTCAGCTTAAGAGACGCGAGCCCCCCCGAGTCCGAGTGGTGCCCGTTTCTATTTTTGGGTTTTTATCTGTTTGTTTGTGTGTGTGTGTTGTTTTTCTCTTCTTCTTTTTTTTGGGGGGGTGGGTGGGGGGTGGAATGCGTTCCCTTGAAAGTCAACCAAGCAAATGTGTCCCGAAATCTGGGGTCTTGAGTCAAAATGCGCAGACCAGAAAGTTCAGTGGATTTCGCCCTCGGAATCACAGCTTGGTTGGTGGCGTTTCCGACTGGGATATGAGTGTTTAGTCCCAGTTTGTTTGAAGGGTTTCCCCACGAAAAATTGTCACCCCAAATATTGTTTTTTTTTTTTTTTTTTTTTTTTTTAATTTTGGAAGGAAGCACTGAACCAGCCATGGGTTCGATCACGGGCCAAGGCGCTAAGCCCCAAGTGGCCCCTCACAGTGGAGGAGGCGTCCAGACTCTACCAGGCGGGATCAGATCGATGGGTCAATCCGTGTCGCTTTGGACGGGAAAGATGGTCTACAGCCTATCGTTTGGTTTTCCCTGGTTTGCTCCAATAGTCAAGTTCCCAAGGGTCGACCTTTGAATGCTAGGTCACTCGTTTTTTCAAGGCCTTCCACTTGGAGATTCCACACTTCAGCTTGAATTGTAGCTGCACGTATATCCCATTGCACCTCTACAGACGCATGCTTGTGAACATTTACAAATGATGCGTGCTGCCTTTGCTCGCGCCTGTGGGCTGCAAAGCGTTGAAGGGAATCAGCCCGATTGAGGTCACCCATGTTCACTAGTGGCGCATGAACACCGATGAGTCGCCTGAAAAACACATCCGGGCAAAATCTTGCAAGAACATGGCATTTGATCATGAGGACGCATGTTTGCACTCAATGATCTTCATACTGGGTTTGTAGCCCTCCCATTGGAACCTCCCTTCCCCACGATTTGGGCTTGGCCTCGCGCTCACTAGAGAGGAGCCAGCTCAGAGGCCCAGTCGGCCGACTGTTGACCTTTCGGCTTCAAACGGCGCGAAGAAATTTGTTCTTGAAAGGTCGACTCTGGTTGTTCGGATTTGTTTGGAAAGAGTGTACGGCAACAAAAAGGCGAGTTGTTGATGTAGCTTTTATACACGAGGCGACCTGAATGGTTTTCATGATTATCATTCTGTGCTTGCACTTGGATCACAACAAAGGTGAAGACCCACCCATCCACCCACCCACCCATCCACCCACCCACCCATCCACCCATCCACCCATCCACCCATCCACCCATCCACCCATCCACCCATCCACCCATCCACCCCACCCCATCCATCACCCACCCACCATATGGTTTTGCTGCGGAAACCAGCCCACCGCAAAAGAGAGCGGCGATCCGAGGCGGCGCAGGAAGAGCTCCAGCAGCTGGGCGCCTTGAAACTCTCCGGCGCGGTGCTCTCCGAGGGTCGCTTCTCCCAGGCCTCGAAGCAAGTCGAGCATTGCGTTCCCGCCGTTTAAGCCCAGACGCTCGAGCAGCCAAAGAACGCCTAGTTGTTGTTTTTTTTCTCCGGAGGGGGGGAAAAGAAGCAGACAACCATGCGTGAAGAAAGTCTTTCTTGCGGTTTCCAGTAGCTGAATCAAGACGCTTTCCAAAGATGATGGATGGCCTTTTGTTTTGTGTGTCCCTTTAAATTCCATCCAAGAAAGGACCTTCCTTATTTGCAGACACTGTAGTAGAGTACTTGGATCTCCATGAGAGCAAAGATCACATGATGTACATGTTGTAAATCCTATCAATTGCTTTGTGGTCGAACTGCGCAGGACGGCTGGCAACTTTACAGGATTCAGTTCTATCATGCGAGCTGTGAATTCGCAGGTGCTTCTGGGGCACAGTTTCGGCATGCGTTCGCAAACGCGCACACACACACACACCCTAGAGAGCCTAGCCTATACTTGTGCGATTCACGGTGCAACGTGCCGTTGGTCAGACGATGGTTGTCGTGCATGCGTGTAAGCGCGGGCCCTCTTTGTCCATGGTGCTCCGTGGCTGATTTTGCAGAGTCGCTCCTGCTGAGTCATGTTTTTGAAGGTTCCCTGCCTTTGTTGTGCAGATTGGGCGGCTGCCATATGGTCAAGGACAGCAATGGAAGGCACCGTGCAGTTTATCTGTGGGACGCCCACGAAATCCCACGCAAGATAGCCGAGGCAGGTACAGTAGTTGGCTGGGACAAAACTCTATAAGCCTAAAACCAACTGCATGATCATTTGCAGTTTGTTGTTGTCAATCTTTGCTCTTGAATGTGTTCCGCGCTGCCTTCGGCAACTTCCTGTAGATGTTCCCGAAGCCGCCCAGTTTCCTAGTCCAACCACGTCAGAGTTCCGCCAAAGCATGAGAACCTCTTACAAGACTGAACATGAGAGCTCCCCCGAACCACAATCCCCCCCCCTCCCTCCAAAAAATCGATCAAGACCTTCCACACAACCGGCCATTGCCTTCTTTTTTCCCTTGGTTCTGCCACGCAAAACAGACATGAGAACTTCTGAAGTAAGAACCTCCCCCCCGACCAGTCCCAACCCCCCCCCCCAGCACGTGGCCCTCCCTGCATTGCGCCTGGCGTCTCCTCCGCCGCCTCCCCGCCTCGAGCCACGGCCGCGTGAGGCGGCGGAGAAGCGCTACGGCGCCCGGGGCTCCGCGGGGGAGCGCCTGGCGCGGGCCTTCGGGGCGCCCAGCGCCAAGCTGGGCTCCGCGCGGCTCGGCGACAGGGCGCGGGAGGGGCGGTGCCCCGTTTGTTTTTCTCCTTTTTGTGTTTTACTTGTTTTTGGTAAGGGTTCCTCTTCCACTTGCTTGTCAACCTGTTGTTTGGGGTGAGGGTTCCGATTCATTGAAACTCAACCAGTAAAAAAGGGGTGCCCTTGTTTTTTTCTTTCACATGGAAATCCACTGGGCATCCGGGCAAATGGGGGCTGCCATTTTTGGGACCAAGAGTCAAGAGCAAAGCTGGATTTGTGGGTTACCATAGTTTTGTAGGATTTGGTGAGTTTTTTTTGTGGTGAGCAACGTTGCATCAGGATTTGCAGGGATCTCTCTAAAAATCCCCGAAAATGGGTGGCTCCCCTTTGGTGCCCATGCCTGAAAAAAGCGCACCCCGAAAAATCGACACACCCCAGTTGCCAGGTTTTTGGGCCGACGCGAGTGAGCAGTGGTATGAACCTCTGGGTAGCTATGGTAGCTGGCCTGTGGTTCCTATAGCCTCCTCTAAAAAATCGCTGGTTTGGTCCCAACCTGGTTTCTTGGGTTGCTAGGAATCCTTATCAGACCTTCAACACGAACATGCAGGGGATGGTTCACAGCCATAGCATCCATACCACGGGAATTGTGACCAAGCATTGGTGGGTGCAATTTTGTTCAAAGGGAGTTGGTGGAAGTGTCCGCCATGTCCACAGAAAACCCCCTAACAGTGATTGTCATCCTTGCAAAAACAATATCTACTGTTGCTGAAGCCACGGTGTTTGTTTCCCTTTTGCCTCTTTTGTGACCAGCCCCACAGAGTTCGGCCCACGTTCCGGCGGCTGAATTCTCAAGCAGTATGGACCCGTGGTCAAGATCGACAGCTAGCTTTATTATTTTTGGGCATTCATCCGCTACACGCGTGCCAACAATTACTATTGGTACATATACTTTCTTAGTTTGGTCTCATCCGTTGTTTGGGCTTGTTTTCAAGTGGATCCACAGGGAAGGCACCCATCTTGGTGCTTCCCCCCCATTTGGGAGAAGCCTCCTTGGGCAGCTTTTTGGTCGTTGCCATGAGGCCAGACTGGTGCCGCTGCCGGCCTCGCGCAGACACCTTCGAGGTCGGGGCGTTGAGTTTGCTCGCCCGGAGCCTCAGCATGGCCAGCGATCGCTCGCGAGGCGTCAGTTGGCCTTCAGCTGGTTGCAAGCTCAGGCGAGCTCACCTGGAGAAAACTCACGCCCACCGAAGGTGATTTACAAAGTAGCGGAGAGCGGCGTGAGAAGACAGTCCGAATCCGAGAAAGAAAAATAAGCAAACAGGGGAAACAAACAGGGGCCTTCTGCTCTATGCGCGGCTTTGAGTTTGCGGGTTATAATTTACGAGTTGTTTTGTGGTAAATTGTGGGTGTGCGGGTTGCCACTTTGTGAATGGCAGGATCAAGGGATGATTCCCATTTCAGAGCAGAAAGTAGTCATGGAGATGGGAATCAGAGGATGTCCTGCATGTGAAGGTGGCCGGCCTAGCTAAGAAATGCGAGGCTTTTGTTTTCTGACCCACGTCCCTACTTCTAACTTGGAAGCTGCGCGTGGCTGAGCCTGCCCTATTGAACAACATGTGCTTGGGCTTGGTGCGAGGGCTTCCAACCCCACGGCGCTTTCTGGGCGGCTGAGGGCATGTTCTTGGTGGCGGTGCCGGGTGAGGACTGCAGCTCGGCGTGCCAAGTGCCAGATGCCAAGCCTCACTCGCCTCAACTTGACGCGCTTTACTCTTCCATCCACCAACATGGAACCTGACTGAGGGCTCCTGGAAGACTATGTTCCCTTGAAATGGACCCTCTGGTGGATGGGAGGGTAAATACTATTTTAGCGGTAAATGGCATGTTCAGACTTGTGAAGCTTTTCCGCGCAGCGGTGAGTTTTGCTCCAGATTCTAGAGTTTGCATGTCGGAGAGGATCAACATGACTCCTGACTCATCCTCTCAGAACGCATTGCCTTACTGCCCCGGCCCGCTAATTTGCAACTTCCTCGTCGCGCGGCCTGAGAAGCTGCGCAGAGGGCACAGTGGCGCACATGCCCGCCCGAAGCCCCCCTCCAACATACCCGTGGCATGGACACGCAGAGGTCATGTTGAGGCCCCAATCCCTAAAAACCGAATCCTGAAAAGACGATTGTAAAACGAGTTCACAAAACACAACGACAGACACACAAACAAACAATCCAAACAGATGGTTGTAAAACGAGAAAATGACACCAACACACACAGAAACAAACAAACGCGTGCACTGAGAAATCGGCCCAGGTGCGTTGCCGCCCTGCAGTGCCGCCGACCAGCTCTTGGCTCTAGCCACGGCCCAGCTCCGGCGGCAGCCGCTCAGCCTGGATTTTCCATGTAGATACCACCTATGGTCCTCCCTGTCGGTGTTTTTTTTCCTGCTTTTGAACGCAGACAATACCCATATGTCTCCTTTTGGCTCGGTGCCGGGTCAACATCCTGAGCAAAGGCAGCATTTTTTTTGGGGGGGGGTCCAAAACTCCCCAGAGAATTTCAGAACCCCCAAGATGCCGTTGGCTTTCTCACTCCCATCCAACCATGGCAAGCCTACCACTTTCAACACGGTTCCCTTACCATCAGTGGCACCATATCCCACATCTCCAGCCTTGACCTTGCAGCCTCCCCGACCCCGCCCCCGCCCCCGCCTCCGCCCTTCCACCCCGCCAGGCATTATGGAGTTTAAGCCCCTTGTAGGAAGCTTTTTTGGGCCCATCTCCCCCCTCCCCCTTCACCGAGGCTCCTGGCGGGCAACGCGCAGAGCCCAGATCTGCCGCCGCAGGTGCTGCGGGACTTGGGGTGCCTAAGGCTCTCGGACCAGCGCACGCTGCTGCACGCGGCCCTTACCCGCAAGGCCACTGCGCTACCACCCAGCTGGGCTGGTGAGCAACCAAATTTGGTTCAGACCCTCTATTTAGCATCAGGTCATTTGAGGGCTGGTTTAGTTTTGACCAAGCGAGGGGATCAATATTCCTGCCCCTTTTTCCCATTTAATTGGTGGACATATCTGTTATTTTTGGTGATGGTCATCCCAGGTAAAGGACCTTTTGACCAAGCTCCATTTAGTAGGTTAACTTACGTGTGACCCCAAGGAAGTGTGACCCAACGAAGCGACTCACTATGTGTGGTTACATTTTCGGGGGCTCTCTAACTTGCATTTGGGGGTGGTTGCCCGTGTTTAGCCATCAGTCAGAGAGGAGAACCTTTCATGGGCCCAGTCAAGGGCAGGTCATCAGCCATTAAAGGAAAGAAACCCGCTCCGTATGACTTTCCAAGTCGCTTTTTTACAAATTGGCTAAGCCTTTATTTAGAACAGCCCAAACATATCTCCTTGGCCTCAGGGAACAAGTTCAGGGGCATGTTTTTCCTTCTGGTAGGCTCGGCACGAAACATGGTGAACCCACAAAAGAAACGGTTTCTTCCTTCCAAGCCCAAATTCTGACCAGTTCTCCACTGCTATTTCCCATGTTTCTCTTGGGCGGTTCCCGGGTTCAACCGCCACCGCCGAAACCGAAACCCGCGAGTTCCCGGATGGATCGGTTCCACCGCTCCACCGCTCCACCGCTCCACCGAGCGCTCGAGGACCTGCAGCTGGCGCGGGCGGCGCTCCGCGCCCAGGGCGCCGGGGGCCTCTTCTGCCGCGACGGCGCCGGGCGCAGCGCCCTGCACTTCGCGGCGGCGCTGGAAGCGCCGGAGGCGCCGGCGGCGGCGGAGGCGGAGGAGGCGCAGGAGCCGCAGCGGGCGTTGGGGGGGGCTGAAGGGAGAGGACGAAGTTCATGGACTTTAATGATTTTTGGGACCGTTTTAGTGGTAAATCACGAATCTGCAAAATCTGGACGTGTTTTGGCAAGTCGACTCAGGAAGTGAGGGGTTGTTGCCTTTTGGGCTGCACATCATGCGGACGGAGGAGCATTTGGCTGTCGAAACCAATGGTACCATTCTGGGGAGGTGCAGCCACATTTTAGTGAGTTTTAGTGGGGATTGGGATGTTCACTGGGGGTACGATTTGGCTTTTGACCCATGGCCATTTTTCTTGCGGCTCGAAGTCTTGGCCAGGCAAACAACAGCGGAGCACTTCAAAGGCGAGTGACCGCCAGCGAGGCAACGGAGTGGGTGCTGCAGCAGATGCGTGCCAATGCGCCGGAGATGCTGACTGCAGTGGACTTCTTCGGCAGGAGTTGCGCACGAGAGCCTCCGCAGGCTTCCCTTATGTCCCCGGTTTTGACACCAACTGTTGGGCCAATTCAAAGTGAGGTAAAGTGAATAAAAAGTAAGTTTCCTTATGGACTGGTGGTGTTTGGGTTGGAATTCTAGGGAGCCCCGTTCTGTGTCGAGATTGTTGGAACTGTCTAAATCGCCCACAACTTGCTTCTTCCAAAAGGAAAGGGGCCTGATTGTGATGTTGTAATAATTTTCTGACGCCCTATTTGATAGACGCCGAGGCCGTTAAGAACCGCCCGTGGTTCACAAACCATTCCTGCAACTTGTGTGATATTTCACTGCGTGCCTCGCAAGAAAGCCAGTTGCACCGAAAACTCGCCTGCTTGAAACACGCCGTCGATCCTAGAAAGTCAAACCGATTCAAATCGCATCAGCTAGCGTGAGCTTCAGACGGCCAAGGGGAAGCCATTCCTGGCGTGGGTCATGGTCATGATTCCGACAAAGTATGTGTAAGTCTGTTTGAGGGTGCCACTTGTTGCATGGCAACCACCAAGGTAGCCATCCACTTGCAGGGTTGCAACATTAGCCTTGGGGATGTAAACAAGCTGTGGAAAAGCTCCTGCAATAAACGGCTCAGGTGTTTGCAATTTGTGGGCCTCCACGATCTTAAACATGGAATTGGGAGAGGTCGACCCTGGATTCCCCTGTGTGTTTTGCAGGGAGGGCGGAATTTGTGAAACTACACCCCACCCCCTCTTCCAACTATAGGAGACTGGCTTTCTTGAAAGACAACTTTTTGAAGTTGCCGTTTGCTTGGAGTAGCTAATCCTGATTCCGCACGCAATGTGGCCCCCCGGTCTGCGGTTTCCCTCATTTTTTGAGCGGGCCATTTCAGATGACTTGGGGCACTTTCGGTTTCAACCAAATGAGGCAAAGTTAATCAACGATTTGCAGAGACCAACCACTCGGAATCCACTCGGAGGCCACTCGGAGAGTACCCTCCCACCAATGAACATGGAACCTGAAATGGGGTCCCTTTAAAAGGAGAATGGTCCAAACCAGGACCCTCATGTCAGGTTCCATGTTGATTGGTGGGAGGGTAAATCTTTACCATCACTCACGTGTGCAACGATTTTCAGAGGCTTGTTGGGGGCGCTTTCGCTTTCAGCCACTTGAAGGGTACCCTCCCACCAATCAACATGGAGATCTGCCAGGACCCTGCTGTCAGGTTCCATGTGAACTGCTGGGAGGTCGCTGTCGCTTCCAGGACGGCCCTCTTCACCGCCCGCAGCGGCGCGGCGCTCCGCGCGCTGCTGGCGGCGCCGGAGCTCAAGGCGAAGGCCGCCGCGCAGGACGCGGCCGGGCGCGGGCTGCTGTGGCACGCGGCGGCGCTGGGGCGCACCGACGCGGGGCTGAAGGGCTGTGGAAGAGGGGGGGTTGTGGGTCCACTTCCTGTGATTCCATGGGCATTTTGATGGAAATGGAGGCAGAATTCTTAAGGGGATAAAATCATGGGAAAGGCTTTGCTTCCTATGCTTCAGAGTGAGTCCGGTACAGGTTTCAGAGTCAAAAGTTTTGGCTTAAATTAGGCCCACTTCCTGGGATACTAAGAGAATCCTGTCAAAGTGGTGCAGCAGTCATCGGAATCAGACATGTTGGTATCCCAGAAATGCTTTCATAACCATGGAGATGAATCTGAATGTGTGATGGGATCCCCCCAACCTTTCTGCGTTGGAACTGGGAGGCAGCATGTGGCTTGATTTTTCCACTTGAGGAATTTGTCTGGGGTTCATGTTTGAAGGCTCTACTTCCAGTTGGGCGGCAACTGGAAATGGTATTTGGGACCCCCGAACTAGTCGAGGGAATAAGAGGCGCGGGAGACAGCAGGTTCAAACTGACAGCAGGGACAAGCCAGGTAGGGGGTTCAACACGGGCAACACCGTCAGGAAATATCATGGAAGTTTGGACGACAAGGAGCGTCGCACATATTGAAGCCGGCTGGGCGGAACAGTGCTTGATGAATGTCACTTCCTGGGGTAGTGCCTCATGCTGCCATTCAGCCTTCAGGCAGGCGCGGCATGTATTCAGACCCTGGCACACTTGTCACATGCCATTTGAACGTTCTACGGGGGCTACAGCATCGTGTTTTTTTGAACATTGACTCTTGGTCAACCGTCACTTTTCCAACAGGTTCTGAATCATAAGTATATAGTAGAACCGGTTTCAGCCAAGGAGATCGTCGAAGAGCTCCTGTGCACCAAACGCGAGAAAGGTAAGCCGGCAAAACCAAAGCTGGATTGGCCGCCGGCGAGCGCCTGGAAGGACCACACTTCGGAGTTGCTTTCTTTCCTTCTGTGTTTGTCGTTATTTCTTTCCTTCTTGCTGTGTTTTTGTCTTTCTGACTTTCTTTCTTTCTTTACTCACTCTATTCCTTGCTGTCCTTTTGTTCTTTGTTGTTTTCTTTCTGTGTCTAGTCAATTCTTTCTTTCGTTCTTTCTTCCTTTCTTCCCTTTTTCTTTCTTTATTAGTTCCCTTCCTTCTTCTGTGTATTATTTATAACTTTATTTCTTTTGTTCTGTCTTTCTAGCATTATTGCTTTCTTCCTTTTCTGTTTTTTTTTGTTTGTTTTAAGTTTTGCCGTCTTTATTCATTCCCATCTTTCTTTATTACCTTCTTGCCTCATGCCCTTCCATCTCTCTTCCGTTGTTTCTTTCTTTCTTGCTTTCTATATTATTCCCATCTTTCGGTATTCCCTTCTTTCTTTCTTCCTTTGTTTGTAGCTCCGTCGTTGTTTGTTTGTGTTGTTTGAACATAAATCGCCGCAGGAGGCAACAAAGGGGATGGATACTTTTTGCCCAGCCTCCCTATTGGGCCGTCCAGTTCGGTCCCTTTGAGCCAATCGGACTTCCGCCTTGCTAGGAGTTTGCCAGCTCCCCGCTGGTGGCGGCAGCCCAGCAGCTGGCCAAGCCCCTGTGCGACAAGGACAGGCTTTGACAGTCGATGAGTTGCTTTACAACCCCAGAATCTTGATGTTGTGGATGACCGTGCGCAAGAACATATAGATACACAAATTATATGACATATGGTCAACATATTTAATATGAATTATCATCATATATAGGCATGTAGTCAAGTGTGTGTGTGTGTGTGCTTATTTCTTGAGAAGAGACAGACACTTTGCGAAAGAGGGCGAGAGAGAGCGGAAGAGCGAAAATGAAAAGACGTCCCTTGGAGGCGCCCCAAGAGGCAGCGAAGACGCTGGAGCTGCTGATGAGCTGCGGAGGCGACGTCATCACGTGCGTGTGGAGGGTGAGTTAGTCGTCCAGAGGATGTGGGTGCTCCAGGGGGCCCTCATATTTCCCGCTGTGGGTAGTTTTTGAACTCAGGACGTATATGATTGATTATGATGGGTGCCTAAAGAATACAGTTTAAAGCCACCCCCAAGCAAATTATGGAGCCCCAATAGAGAAAACCGGCAAAACAATTTGGGGGTTAGATCGACCTTTCCCAAGTTTAGTACTTACTACTAAGTATTGGTTTAGTATAGGTTTGGCATGGCTTTGTCCTGCATTAGTACTGACTTAGTAGTAGTGCGTATTTCTTAGTATTGCTTCGTGTTGCCTTGGTACTGGCTTAGTACTGGTTTGAACTAGTTTAGTATTGTCTTAGTATTGCTTCGGTTGTCTTCGGTCATTTTCGGTGCTCTGCCTAGTACTGGCTTTTGTTTTGTTTGAGTATTCCTTGAGATGGCCCAGTTCTTTTTGGAATTGGTGCCTGCCTTGCTACTGGCTTTGCCCTAGTACTGGCATTGACCTAGCACTATTGGTTCAGTATTGGCTTGGTAGTTTTTCGTTATTATCGGCCTGGACACATGTTTGAAGTTTGCAGAATTGGGTGCCCCTTTCTCATTTCCACCATTGTGGATTTGGGGGGGGCCATGCCCTACCCCTTCGGATATCGTCGGCTGGGCACTTCTACATGAAGGATGTGTAACGAACTCCGCGATTGGGGCTTGGGTATGGCTTGCATAACTTTTCTGAAATTCTCAGTACTCAAGTGCTTGATTGAGCGGGACAACCTCTCTAGCGGGCCGGGGAAAGGTGACACTTTATTGTATTAGGTACCGTTTTGCATTCTGTGGGTGGAGAAGAATTGTGGCAAAGCTTTTGTATTCGGTACCCTTTGACTAATTGGGCACCAACAGTATAGGGAGCCCTGTGCTTGGGAAGGCTTGCCAGTAGAACTTTGTCTAGTAGGGTTGGTGCAAAGGGAGGCCTACAGGAAGTCCGTTATGTTAAGAGGCCAAAAGGTTGTTTGAACTGTCTCATGTTTTTCAACGCCACTTTGGGCTGGTGGTTGTGCCCACGTTTTTTTGTTTGGACTATGTCGAATCTGCTTGGTGCTGTTCAATGGTGTTGGAACACAAACAAGAAGATAGTATTTGTTGGACTATCGGACCACGCGGGCAGCAGTTCTTGTGCATGTTTGTGCTTGATGCTATTAACTTGTCATGTGCAGTTTTTGGTTTGCAACTAAGTGCTATGGCAACCTGATCCGTTGCCCAGACTATGGACACGTGAATGCTGACCATGGCTCAGATGGGTCTGTGTCCAAATGGTTGTTTCGCTTAAGATACCGTTCCCTCAAGCAAATAGCGACCTCTTGCTTGAATATGGACCACGGTTTATGGTGGCATTCAAGAGGAGTTTTTGGTAGATGCCCAACATGTTCAAACACTGAAGTTCGCGACATTTTAATGTAAATCGCCACATTTGAATCAGGAGTATACAATGCGCTCAGAACTGCACCCGGATTTCTCTACCCTCCCCGAACCCGCACCTTCAGGAAGAAGCTAGCAGGCCTTGCGAAGCCTCTAGGTTTATTTGGTAGCTTGTTCGGTGCCAGATAGCTTGTTTCCACCCACCCACCCACCCACCCACCCAGCAGGGCCCGAGGGGCGTGATGGTCAGAAGGATTCAACGTGGGTCTTCCTGGCGCAGGTTTCAACCAGACGGGCCTCAACGGCAGCACCTTGGAGGTGGCGAAGCAGCTCTGCGCTCAACGAGGCGACTGGCGGACGATGGGGGGTTGAAGGAGCTTGGTATCTACGGCTCGATGCTGTTTTACCGGTAAATGCCTGCCAGCCAGAAATGGATGCGTATCCGGCCGCGGCCCGTCAATTCCGAAGGATATGGCCGTTTTCAGGGGAACCCTGCCCCAAAGATACGGCCGAGTGTCGCGCATGTGGGCCTCGGATTCTGGGTGTTGTTTTGCCTTGATGTGGCATTATGACATATGGGCCACATATGTCACATATGGGTCTGTCATTTTTGCAAGGAGACCCTTCTTTAGGTTGGTGTAAAAGGAAGCCAAAAGGACTGAAGCGGCCTTCCCTGGACCAAACATCGGTTTCCCTGGGCCTGGCAAAGGAGATGAGCGCGTTCTCATGGCCGTAACCTGATGCAGACAAGTGCTTCTTGGGCCCGCTAGCCCATTGTTTTTTGTTTTTTTTTTTGGGGGGGGGGAAATTGTACCATATGTGCCATAGTGCCATAGGTCGTCGAAAAGTTCGCTCGCATACTGTGTGTGGATACTTTGGCCACTTGCTTAGCCTGGGCTCAGGAGCGTGAGCAGCAAAATCGCGGGGGCAAAAAGCAGCGAAGTTGCCACATATGCTTGGACTCTTGTGCGTGTTGTGTGGCTCTGGATGCATGGGATGCAAGGGCCAGGTTTGTTCGGGGAACGTTCGAGGGCCTTCGTTCCAACAGTTGATTTTCCCCCGTGATTGTTGTGTTTGTTCCTTGGGCTCGCTGTTGACTGCAAGATTGGACGGGTCACGTTTTTGGCTTCTGTTTTTACACGGAATGAGTAAGCCTTGCCTTGGTTGCCAGAATTTCCGGCTTGTAAGGGAGCAGGCAGACTTGAAACATGTGCATCACGTGCATGTTCACCAAGCGCTTCAGCTTAACGAGAAGAAGCAGCAAGAAAAATCGCTTTGGAGCCCGGAACGGTGTATGTGCAGTTGACCCATTCAGCTCTTCGACTTTCATTGAGCTCAAAGGATTGCCTCGAAACCTCAACGCTCAGTTCCCACCAAATATGTCCGCACAAGCTTTACATGATCCCCTTGCCACATATGTTGGATCAAAAAAACCTTCCAAATTCCGAGCGCTATTGGCTTCACTGAGGAAAGTCCCTTTCCACAAGCTGGGCTGTGCCAATGGTTGATTCTTTCCTTGAGCCTCCTGTGCCTCTTCGGCACCCACGACACACCGAACAGCCCGCGTCTGCGCGCGCGCGCGCCATGGAAGAGCGCAGCTGCCGCGTGTGCCATGGGGCCGAAGAGGAGCTGCTGGAGCCCTGCGTTTGCGCGGGCTCGGTGCGGTGGATTCATCGGCGCTGCCTGAGACTTGGCAATGGGAATCCCGGATTGACTCTTGCACCCTGGTGATGAAGAGGGAGGAGGGGTGTCCCATTTGAAGCCAACACCCATGCCAACACCCCATGTCCGGTTTTTTAAAGCCGGCACCCCTGCCAACACCCTATGTCCGGTTTTTCAGCGCCAACCCACTCAGGGAGTGAGGCAAATGATCAACCGGGATCAACCTTCGACTCGGGAATTCGGTGCCGGTCGGGTCGAGTTTTGGGCATTCAAGGAACCAGTGGCAGCAGCAATGCCTTTCCAGCGGCACGCTGGGCACCTTCCGCTGCGACAGGGCTGCAGTTGAGCTTGAGGCATGCATATGCAGCAACCCGGCGGATCCAAAGCGTGTAATGCAAAGGTGAGCATGGAAGCTGACACACGATATCTTTGGTGGCTTTTCCGGTTCAGTTGCTTGAAGGGCAAACTGTGGCATGGTCAACCACCTCACCTAGAGGATGGGATGGTCAACCACTGCAACTTGCACATCCATCACGAGTGTTCCGCAGGGAACAAAGGCCATGGCCCTATGTAGAGTCCCAATAGTGCATATGTATCTTTTTAGGTCCCGCCCACTGTGAGATTGCGAAGCGAAATCAAAAGGACACTGGGCATGAGTTGCGCATTTGGCTTTGGCCAACGTTTGGGACATGTCAAATGGGCCAGTCAGTATTAAATGCACCCTCCGGATTTTACATGATAGAAACCAGATATGTACAACTCAGTTGCTGTGACTGTCAGTACCAGCTATTTCACAGCCTCTATATCTTTATCCCTTTAGTTGTTTAAAGCATCACTTTTGGGCCAATGTAAGGCGTCCTGCCACAATGTGGGGCTGTTTCGGCTGGACATACAACCCTCAGCTCAGTGTCCATACGGAAAGGCGAGCTGTGCGGCTTTGTCTACGTCCACGAGATGGGAATACAAAGCCGCTATTGCGCAGTTCTGACGGAGGTGAGCGAGGCTGCTGGGCCCAAGTGTGGTTTCGCGGGTTTTTTTCCCAGTGGGCCGTTGCCTGCTTCGTGTTTTGCAGCTTTGCCAATGTGAAGCAACACACAACTTTGCTTTTCGGGGTGAGGGATGCTAAAGGACCAGCAAGGGGCAAAGTAACATGAAAACGACAATTAAGCGATGCCCTCAGCGTGGTCGATGATCCTTCCGTGCTTCCATATCAATTGTCATCGAGAGATCATGGATACACCTTGTTAGCGTTGCCTTGTTATCTTGAGCGTATCCCAGATGGAAGCATTCGGTAGGAACGCCGACCCAAGAGACCCTCCAAATGGTTGATTTTCTTTTCGGCGCCCCTTTGCACTCATTCAAACCCAGCACCCTTTTTCTCTTTGGTTTTATGGCCACTGGAAGGGTCACTGAACAAACGGCAAAGGGGAGCGTCCCATGTGCAGACTGACAGCGCTCGTCTTCAGGTCCTGCTGTGCTGCACGCCCCTGGTGATTATCATTTTGCTGATCGGCGCGGCGGCCCCAGTCCGGAGCTGGCCGAAGCCAACTCGCGCCCTGAAAGGCTGTTGGATGCCATGCACTTTTTGGGGTTAAGAATATCTGGTTTTGAACGGGGGAAGTCAGAGTCATAGCGAAGGCTTTGGTTTGTTTGGTCTTGCAAGCTAATGGCCAACTTCACCAGCAGAGTTGCTATGGCAATCTGGAGGGTCGGCAAGTAACGTATTCATTGGAAGAAATCTATGGTTGTCTCAGAAGTTGTCTCTAATGTTGGGTAGTGAATAGAACAGGCCCAAAAACAAATTCGTGGTCAGAGTTGAGCCTAGTCAAGTAGTCTCTCAGTAAGTGCTGCTTAGTATTGGTTTAGATTTGTTTGAGAATTCCTGTGAGCCGGCCCGGTACTATTTAAAATTGGTTTGGTGTTTGATAACAAAAAGTCTAGTACTCCTCGGTACTGGCCCAGTGGTTTTTTTTCTGTCAGTTGGTGTTCTGGCTCTGGATCGACTCAACATGACACAGTTACCCCGTACCCTTCCTTTGCTTGCAGCCAGATTGCATTAGAGCTGCCGTGGGCAAGGCAATGTTGAAATGAGAGTGCTTGGCGGTTTCCGCGCTAGAACCAGTCAACCATTGAAACGATCTTCTTTTGGGAGCCAATCAATTGTCTAGCATTATGGCATTCATAATCACCGGCCACTTTAGAACGGTCGCCTGAAAACAAAGGAGCCTAGGGGTTGGCTTAAACTGGGCCGGGCTTTTCAACCAAACCTTTACTTTGGTGCTTTCTGCTTGGATGTTAGGACTTTAGCTTTGTTCCAACTATTTGGTTTTCCATTAAACCACTAGAAGTTAAACTTTTAGCAGGGGAGCAGAGTTTAGGTTCCCTGGCTCCCTTAGGTGACCACAGACCTGGCGGTGGGCCTCACAGCTGCTGGGGCCATCCTGGGCCTGGGGGCTGCATGCGATTTGGCGGGGGGTGGTGGGGTGGTGGGGTGGTGGGGTGGTGGGGTGGTGGGGTGTGAGGGGGGGGGAGTGGGGGGACAGGTCTAGCTGAGGAGCACGGGTCCTGGCTGAGTAGGGTCATGGGCTCAATTGGCTCCATGCGCGCGGATGCCCGATGCAAATCGTATCCAAGGGGATGATGAGGAAGGAGGACAGTCTTGAGCTGAGCTTGCGAATTTGATCCAGTTTCCACTGGCGAACAACATATTGAGCAACGGCGTGCAGCAAGGGGCAATATACGAATGGTTCATGTCGGTTGAGATGATGCTTCTCCCAGACTGTGCAGATTGGCGGGAAGGACCGAGTTATCAGAGTCCTCAGTGGTTTCGTGTGGTAGTATTGCCGGGCATGATGAGTTTTGGAACCCTTTCTTCACTTACCATCCAAGGGCTGACTTTGATGACAGGGCCTGTTTTGAGTCCCGCGCTTTGAAGTTTGCCTACCTGCAATCCAGCAGCCAACGCAGACCCTCAAGGTAAGTAACACGGGACCCAAGGAGATGCATGTGTGAACAGATGATTCTTGCACATCCTGACGCCGAGCATTTGAATCGCCAGTGTAAACACTTTTGCTGGGTTGATGCTATGCTGGAAGCGGACGCGCGCCTATTCCGCCAATGTAACCATTAATCACTTCTGCCAAAATTGGGAGGTGTCCGAAACACAGAGTACTTGCTGTGAGCCACAGGGCAAATTCACAACGAGTCCATTGACCCCATGTAAAGCGACCGCATGACAATGCTCAAAAATCAGGCGATTTCAACCAGAGCCACACTTGTTCGGGCCTAGTTTAGGCCCCTGTCTGCACTCGGTGCCCACACGTCCAGGATCCTTTGCCGGGGAACTCCATAGGCGATGATAGCGATGGAAGCGAAAGCCAACGGGCACCGGGTAATCAACCTGGTGCATCCACACGGGCTTTCCCCCAAAAAAAGGAGTCCCTCGTACATGGTACACCCAAATTTTGTGTCAACCGGAGGTTTCTGGTACACACACACCCTGAAGTGATACTCACACACACACACCCTTTCCTCACAAACGGATTCCCTCTTCAATACTACACACACACAGTCTCCTTATCATCAACCAGGGCTTTATCAATCCTTGGTTGTGAGTCTCAGGGAGCCGAGGGGGTGCGCAGGCCGCATCCCTGGTGGGCCGCGGCGCCTTCAGCGCCTGCTGGCAGCTCAGCTCCGGTGCCTTGCGGACGCGGAGGTTTGCGCCCTTGCGGGCGGAGAGGTCGAGCGAAGATGCCTGGTGCCTGCCACGTGCCTTGGTCAGTGGGTCCCGTTTGGGTGAGTTCATGTTTTTTCCCTGAAGAAGTACCCAACGTGGCAACTGACAGGGGGTCCCTTCAAAAGGAGTTTGATCTTCCAGGTACTTCCCCGCAGGTGCCATGTTAGTTGGAGGAAGCGTGGGAGGCATAGAAATCAGAGGCCGAAGTTCTTCAAGGCGCACCCAGGTTCTTCACAGTTTGCCTATTCTCCACTTCGCTGTCGGAAGCCCCCGCGGCATGAACGTGGGCAGGAACTGCGGGTGGTCTCCAAGTGGCACTGGGCCTGAGTAATCATGGGGTTCTGCAGTGATTGCTGTAAAGCCAATTTACGGTTTTTCATAAATGACCATAGGAAACAGATGTTCGTAAGTAGTACTCATGTTGCCCGGCATAGCCTGAAGTTCGGATGCCTCAGATCTTCGGGCTAAGGGCGGTACCTCCTCTTCTCGCTTCCCTTGATGCTGCCCAATGTGATCACCTTCTTTCTCTTCACGCTCCGCGGGGTGCTGGGGGTGGATGGCCTGACCCAGTGCGGAGCCTCCGGCTGCACCTTTGTCTCCCACAAGTGGTGGTTAAGAGAGCCTGTGCTTAGACTCGGGACGTGGTAAATAAATCAACCTGTTGACTTTTTGTCTAGATTTAACCTTTCGTCCTCTTCAAGCGACCCTGGGCCGAAAGGGGGTCCAACAATTTTGGACTCGTTCGGTTTCCTTGGGGCACCCGACCCGAGGAGTGCTGCTGTCCTGCTTCGGCTGCATCTACGCCCTGGGCGTCATCCTGCTGAAGCTGTGCCTTGCGATGCTGCGGCCGCCCATGGTACTCCAAAGAGAAGCTTGGCTGAGAAAGAATCGTGCAGGAACGAGGCCATGGCTGGCTGGCGGATTTCAATCAAATCGCACTAATCAAATCACACTATTCTTGGCTGGCTGGCTGGTAGTGTGGCGATTGTTGCGTGCTACCTCTTGCACTATAGAGTCTTGGCTGGCTGGTGTGAATGTAGGTGGTGTTTTTTTCTGGCGATTTGTCTCAGGACCGGGACGGCTGGCCAATGGTCCGAAGCCTTACGAGCGACGAGAGGCAGCAAAAGGGCTCGTGCGCAGAGTGCGGTCCTGCAGGGAAGACAAATGGCAAACACTCATGTTGAAAGGTTCTCCCTTTGAGAGGCACCGGTGCCATCAGTCCCTGGCAGAGGAGTTGGGCCTACATACGTTTTAATGTTGACCCCGTATTAGTCTGTAACCCCCCCCCCCCTTGAAGGTTGGAAGGTTTTGGGGGGGCAAGATTTTGGAAGGTTTTTTGCCATGACCCCTAAATAATCTGGAATTGAGTTTCAATTGATTTAGTATTGCTGGGGCTTCCTTTTGAGATCTGGAATTGAGTTTCCATTTGATTTAGTATTGCTGGGGCTTCCTTTTGAGATCTGGAATTGAGTTTCCATTTGATTTAGTATTGCTGGGGCTTCCTTTTGAGATCTGGAATTGAGTTTCCATTTGATTTAGTATTGCTGGGGCTTCCTTTTGAGATCTGGAATTGAGTTTCCATTTGATTTAGTATTGCTGGGGCTTCCTTTTGAGATCTGGAATTGAGTTTCCATTTGATTTAGTATTGCTGGGGCTTCCTTTTGAGATCTGGAATTGAGTTTGCATGGCCCCCCCAATGGGATTCCATGAAATTTGATGAGGTTTCCATTGAGATTGAGTCACTTTTCCATCAGGTTTGCATGGCCACCCCAATGGGATTCCATGAAATTTGATGAGGTTCCCATTGAGATTGAGTCACTTTTCCATCAGGTTTGCATGGCCACCCCAATGGGATTCCATGAAATTTGATGAGGTTTCCATTGAGATTGAGTCACTTTTCCATCAGGTTTGCATGCCACCCCAATGGGATTCCATGAAATTTGATGAGGTTTCCATTGAGATTGAGTGATATTAGGCTCGAATCTGGCTGATTAGGCAGGCATGGTCCAGCAATGGCATCTGGAACATCAAGCTCATCAGGCCTAGGCTCATGGGAGGAATTGTCAGTATCAGCTCTATCAGCTCACAATGAGGGGCTGGAATCAGATGAGGACCTGGCATCAGTTGGGCATGACTCTGCATATTGGGCCAACATGTACACAGGATTGGTCCATATTGGGAGGATGGAGAGGCCATTACAAGCTGAGGTCATTAATATCATTGGCAGGTTTGTTGGCCTATCCAGAGCTGATACATGGTGGGCATTGCCATTGGGTGGCATCACATGTCAGTTCTGCTCTCTGGCCAATGGTGGATATTCAGATACATGGACCATGATGGGCTGGCTCATTGCTTTTGCAGATGAGGGCAGTGAGATGATGATTGGCCACAATGAGACTGTCTTCATTGAGACAGACATGTTTTAACATGATGCTATAGGAGAAAGTGATGGGCAGTGCATCAGTGCATGTGGCAGTGGTGAGGCTTCTGAGGCCCCCATATTGCTTTCCATGAGACTGTGGGAGGTAGATTTTCATGAAATTTCCATTAGCCCCCATGAGTTTCCATGAGTTTACAGTGGGTTTCCATGAGGTTCCATGAATTTCGATGAATTACCATGCAGCTGTTGGCACTGGCATATCAAGAATCCAGCCATGAGTAGTACCATGCTGATGGGATTGGGTGCAATTGCTGTGATGGCTCTGGCTGTCATGATGAGTATGCAACCAGTGCCATGACTGAAGAGAAGAGGAAATACATGTGAGAGTGTTGCATTCCAATGAAACCACCATGAAGAGTAGTCCACATGAGCTTCAGGAGATGATCCACCATGCCATCCTGTATGCCCTGATGGCCACTATGCCTGTCTGCTGCTATTTGGTATATTTGGGATTGATGATGAAGTTGCATGTGCAGGCACTGATGGGCAAGCTTGCAAGTGATTAAGGCACGCTGGCATGGACCAAGATGCAATGCACATTCATCAGAATGATGCTTAGCAAAAATACCAGTGACTTGGCATGAAACAATTAGCATGACCATTGACATTTCAAGAAAGAGAATGCATTGAATTTGCATCACTTTTGTAATACTGAGGTGAGATCTTCAATAGCTTCAATGATGAGGATGCAACGTTCCATGAGCTTCAGGATGAGATGCTGCGCAACATGAAAGCTGCCACCATGACACACATCTTCAAGCCCATTAGCCAACATAGCCAGCATTTTGAAGACATGATGAGCGATGCTCATGGCACTGGAGGCTTGGCATCATAAATAATGCAGCATTTGCATGCTATTGACCAAATAGTTAATTAATTCACTAGCATGTCCTCATGCATTATCATGGGACCTAAGGATTGGTCCATTGGATCCACCATGAGCTGACATGCCTGAAGGAGTTCATTGGCAATGATGATGCCAACATGACAATGGCCATGAGCCAGATGGCACATATGCCAGAACCCAGTATTAAGCAATATTGGGATTGGCTGCAAATGGGGGCTCCCATCAATATCAAAGAGTGAGGATGAGCATGAGAGCATGAGCCATGCATCAGTTGCCTTTGTGAGTTGATGCTTTGTTTGGAGAAATATGAATGACACAATGACATGGCTCATGAACTTGACATGGCTCATGGACCACTGAGTCTGAGGCCCCATATTTGGACACACACCTCTCAAGAGCTCATGCCAGCAGCGCATGTCAGCTGTATTGAGACGTGTCCAAATGAGACCAGGAACCATTAGATATGTTGATTGATGGATTTCATTATGACCAGAATTGGGCCTCAGTTCATGGGTTCCACTATTACAAGCAAATCAGAGTTGCAAGATGCCAAAGCATGGGCTGGCTGGTGGGGGGATGAGGCAAGGTACCAGGTGAGCATGAGTTGAAACATGAGTTGAACCATGAGTTGAAACAATTGAAACCATGGATGAGCTGAAACATGTGGACTGGTTTGAAACATGAGCTGAAACATGGATTGATCTACAGTTGCTTCATGCAGCTGCAATAAGCTCATCAGCTATAGAAGCATAGCCTCATCCTCATTGGATCAGTGTGATGGCCATGAAAACCCTGAAGACCATGCAGATGGCTATGATGAGCATGAAGGCCATGCTGCTGGTGGTCATGCTGGCATGCAGCATTCAAATGGCATGGCAGCGTCCTGAGCCTTGGCAATTAAGCTTGGGCATTGCACATGTTAATCAATTTGTTTGCATTTGCACTGATTGATTGAGGACATGAGATTGATCATTACACTCACATGGGTGATGGGCATGGCCTTGTGGATATGCTTCCACATGATGATGTACATCAACAAGATGATCAGCAGGGTGCAAATGTGCAGTGAGAAGATTAGCAATTTGGAAATGAGGACATGCTTCAAACATGACATGGGTTTCATGCACTTAAACACATTATTCATTGTTCTTGCCAGAATGGATGAAAAATATGGAGGAGTGAGGGATCGATCCAGGCATCTCAAGGGCAGATTGTTGAGCTTGAGGGGATGGGTGTGCATGAGCCTCTGGGCAATAATTATACATGAACTGATATGAGCTGAGCCAATGCAATCCATTCAGTGATTAGTTGATGGCAACTTAGGCTGGGCATCAAGGAGCTGCCCTATGAAGAAGAGGACATCCCAAATGAGGACATGGCTCCTGTATGAGCATGATGTGTGCGTGCATGGTGCATGCAAAGACTCATGGATTGAGATTTGCAACATGTCTAAACAGTGGCAGGTTGAGTAGTGCACTAATCAAATGATTAGTTAGGTTGTATCTTTTGGTATCAGCTTGGGCCACACATGAGACTAACTAAGGCACATTGAGCTGGATCCAGGTGGCATGTGCAGCCATCCACATGGTATTGAAGCCTGATGAGAGCACCTGGGCATGACCATATGAGCATGACCAAATGAGTGGACATGATCAAATGATTATCATTGCTTTGCATCACCAAATTAAGGTGAAGTCTGGGACACGAGGAATGACAATGGAGCCACACTGCAGGAAGTGATCGATGAGATAGGGTTGAACATGGAAGCTGCCCGATTGCCATTTGGTGAGATAAGTGCGATGCATCAGTTAATGCACATTAGTTAGTGCACTACATGTCATGCATGACTGTTGTTATTGTAATTAATTAGATTGAATTCAGGACCAGCATCATGAGTCCATGTGCTTATGGCACAGATGAATGGGATCAGATGACACAGCCCCATTCTGACTATAGTGCCTTGCATGCTCTAAGTCATTAGTGATGAGAGATCATGAGTGTTTGCATGTTCAATGGCTAATCCAGGATGGAATGACTGGTTCTATCATGAGCTATCTGCAGTGCATACTGCCATTGGCAACGACCATTGCAAGCTGGAGAAGGCTATGAAGATGATGAAGGGATTGCCTGAGCCATCCATTGCTCCAATATATGATCACTATTTTGGAGATGCTTCATCTCATGAGGAGAAGCATGAGAAGAAATGAGGTGGCATGTTCGATGGAATGAGCCCATGCATCAGCATGATGAGGATTTGCATGCTTGCTCTCAAGATCATGTGCCATGAGAGCACATGGTGCATTGAGTGGGGATGTGAATGTTAACCATGTGATTAAACAATGAGATAAACTAAATGTTGGCCATTTCAATTTTGAACCTGCTGGGCATGGTGCTAGTATTTCTGATCAGGATGCAGCTGGATGCAAAAAACATGAATTCTGCTTCTACAGTAATTCATTAGTCATCATGGAGATTGAGTTTCTGATGGTGCACTGTGTTGAGTTGAGCATGTTGTTGCTAGTGTTGCATGCGCATTGAACTGTATGGCCCAAATGAAAGCTCATTGTAGGATGGAGACAGGCTATTGCTGATTTGATCTTTCTGATGTGGGCAATGGTTCCATTGAAGAATCGGTTTGCAGCATTGGCCTATGAG